GGGGGGGGGGGGGGGGGGGGGGGGGCCAAAGGGAAAGAAAGAAAAACGAAGCAAAAATTGAGGGATTTGAAGGAAGAATCAAGGTTTTATTACTCCATTTCTTTAATAATTCATTCAAGGGACTAGTTTTATCTATTATCTTGCATTCTTCCTTTATTTTCTTTATTTTATAATGGGTTTCCTTACCATTTTCATTTTGTGCCTTTATTTTAAAGAATATGCTATTTGTACATAATGCGGTACCCCCCTTACATCGTATCCCTCCATGTGAGGAAATGAACATCGTTATAGACGCTCTGATGTACGTGTAACATCATCAACGTAAAATAAATCTATATGTACATTCTTGTTGACATTAAGGATGAACATTTCCTTCTCTATCTCAAAATCTGACCAGTGATTTAAAAAAATATTATTAAAATCGATGGCTATGAAAAGATTTCAAACTTAATGTACACATAACATGTTTTGTACAATTTACTGCACATATTTCTTGTTATATATTTATTTATTATATATTTTGTTAATTCAAACGCTCAATGAAAAGAATGTAGTGACCTCAAAGAGAGGTCTCTATCCATCGCACAATGCTCAGTTAAAAACGAGTATCTATCTAATAGCAGATTACCCGGACAAGAAAAAAATGAGCAGGGTTTTGTAAAGATCCGTCCGTTGATTTTGTAATACGCACAACCATGCTTTGCCACAAAAGCTAACTTAAACCAGATTTTCTGCCTAAGTGCTATCTATGTTTCTCCAGTACAAAACCCAACATGAAAGACTGTTCAAGGACTTAAAAATAAAGAATGTCAAGGTAAGTTATAGAGTCAGTATAAATCACAAGTTCTTTTGGTGCTACATACCATTTGGTAAACCCCAATTAGTTGGGAATAAAAGAAATGCTTCTTCTAAACAAATCCACAAACAAAAAGACTATCATAATGCGACTGGCCTCACAATAAATATATATTTATGTATGCTGCGGTTTATCAAAATTCTTGCTATGACCTCACGCAGGCAACTCAAGCTTCACATTATTCTTCCAGCTGCAACAGTGATATGAAATGATTTAACTTACTAGATCAAAATGGCAAGTTCATATAATGTGTCAATGCTTGACAATTTTACCTTTGGAAGTAATAATAAAAGAAATCGGCATAAAGCAGTGTCTGAACAAGCCCCGAAATCCAAGCTGCATTGGCAAAAGCAGCACAAGTATATGATGTCAGTTTAATTGCGGATGGTGATATTTTTATTTTACATATTTACAAAAGTATGCAAGCTGCTGCAAAAAAAATTATTATCAAACATGATGTATTCAGAGAGAGAGAGAGAGACATACTTATCCAGTGAACATAGTGTGGCTCAGTGAAGTAGCGATAAATCCAATTCAATATGTATAATGACCGGTATGCGCTGCGATAAAAAAAGGAATGATAGATAAATTCGAGTTTCATCATTCATTTAACCAAAGACGATGACTTGAAACTGGGCATTTTGACACCAAATATATGTAGTTCATTATTTGACATTGATGACGATAGTACAAGTGTCACAGCCAATTTTGTTAGCATGAGATGTAGACTGGATTGGCCACGAGATACCAAATTAGTCTTTTGTTAATGATACTCGTGATGCTCATAACTGCTGTCAAAGCCAGCTAAAGAATGTCAGGATGGGGATCCTGAATTAGTCTTTACCCGAACTTAATGATAAATTTGCAGATAAAAAGGTTGAAGAATGGCTAGGTGTGCCCACGAGGTTACTCTTCGGGTGATATCTAATTTTGCATGTAAAGTTCTAAACTAATTCATCAACTGACCCATCACCCATGATCACATCTTCCGCTGGAAGAAAGAAGTATTTAACAGAATAATACTCTTCATACATCAAAGAAACCTGGATCATAATCCATATGGCCTTCTTCATATTTAGCATCTTGCAAAACTTCATTATTTATGGCAATGACTTTGACGTTTAATTAAATTTCCCATGGACTTTCTTTTCATTTTGCCCATTAATTTTACCTCATCATCCCCATGTTGCATGGATCTCCATGTTTAGTTACCAAATATCATTTTTCATCTACTATATTTCTGAAGGCAGAGAGCCCCATAAGCATCAAGAACAATGCTACCTCTCCATGCTTCAGGATCTCTCTTTTGTCTTCTCAGCAAACAAGTTCCTTTATTTCATCCATGAACCGAGTACAAAAACTCTAAGCAACAATTTATTTAGTGATAGAATGAATGCTGAAAAATAGTGGATCTTGAGTAAACCATGCCCTTACCAAAGAAATACTAGGAGGAAATGTATTTGTTGACCATAAGGTCACAGAACGAATAAACACAAACAGAGCAGATAATGATTTTCTAAAGCCCAGATTAAAATGTCAATATCCTTGGCTCATACTCACGTAAATTCATCAAGCAAGGCCCACAGAGGAAATAGCAAGCAGATATTAAATTTAAAGAGTCATAAGATTCACTTCAGTATATAAATTTTACATGTAAGCATACTCAAGATTGTTAATATAAAAAAATGTCATTTCGAGTCAGATATAAGAATAAGAATCTGGTAAATAAATTACCCCAGAAGAAAAACATATTGCCCAGTCAAGTTGTCAATATTTCTAGTCCTCTGCAGCAGGACCAGCTGAGGAAGGATGGCTACAGCTTCCAAGTACAAGGAGAATGTCCACATTATCTGATCACTCAAACAAGCCAGAAGTACAAAGGTAAGTAATAAAACAAGAAGAGCAGGCAAGACTGCAGTTTTCTGCAAAAAATATTATACAAAGTAATGATTCACTTTCATAATTCGGAGAAGATAAGTTATTTCCACAAGTAATTAGCCATGTACAATAATGAAAATTAAGGCATGAAATAATGGTCTGTGGGGAAGCCTGAGTACCTCTTTGACAGTAAACTTCTCGTTAATGACAAGGGCCAATAGAAAACACGGCAGCACAAGGAAATAGTGGCGAAACGTGTCCTGGTCTTTGTCATAGGATCTGCGGACGATCTTGTGATGCCTTATATACCAGACAATTGAGAAAGAGCTCACCAAGAAAATTAATTTCATTAGAGTATTATAGAGTGAAATGTAGTCGGTAAAAAGATCCAAGTAGCGTGTAGCAAAGACAAGAGCATAGAGTTCCTGAGTCTTCAGAGAAATGCCTGAATATGACAGAGGAAGTGAACATCAAATGATGCAGGCATTGATATAATTTCGATGCAGCTCTCAATTTTGTACAGATAATTCCATCATACAACTTCTTACTTCAATATTCAAAAGAGGAACAAAAAATCAATAGTAACAAAAAGAGCAAAAACTTATTTTAGTCGCCCCACAAGATGAGTAAGAGGATGAATTTATATAACGCATTTCATACGAAGTAAAAGTATCCACAATAATTCAGGTGCCAATTTCCCAACATTTTTCAATTTTAGATGCATAAACACGCTTCCATAAGCAGAAACAAAACTAAGCCGTTCAGATTAATTCTACATGGACATAAGTGGAAAACAACTTATTAGTACTTGAAGTGTCCCCTGACTGAGTGAACAGTGCACAAGAGAGCAATTCTAGTTTATTTAGTAGATTTTTTAATCATAACAGATCCGACTGAAAGACATCCAGTGGATTCAAGACTGACAGAGTATGTAGCAGGACTTATGTTGATTTTATGAATGATAAATTGATAATATTTTAAGTGAGTATGCATGTATCATGGTGAGGACTTGAATGTCTATGTTGAAAAGAGTTGAAATTCATGAGCGTCATTCAGAAATCCACCACAAATTAGACATGCCAATTGCCAAGGAAAATGAATCTTAAACCAAAATAATGCTCAAACAAGACACTTATACCTAGAAATCTAGTACAGGACTAACTGCAAATTATGTGTCCATAGACATCTGATTGAGTTCAGGCAACTATACTCTCGTCCATCTCCCATCCAAATGAAGACAAGTCTTGCCAGTGCACAAAGTGACACGTGCTTCTGTTTAGTCAAGAAACATGTTTGGATATGATATTGGACTTATATTCTCAAGTATTAAAGGCGCATTGACCAATCTCTAGAGTTTCACCATATTATCTGGTATTGTCCACGTCTCACTCGAATCACCAAAAATGGGGACCAAACATAGAGACGTGGAACACTAATGATATTTTTATTCCACGGTGGATATCATAGCAAGCATTTCAACCCATTTCAAGAGCAGTTTGTTGTTAATAATTCAATCAATTTGAGAAATCTCAAGCAAACTGCTAAGCAACATAGAAAATGATACCGGATCCAAATTTAGGATTCAAAATGACAAAGAGAACATTAATTCTATTACTTCGAGAAGTGATATAATAATTCAAAAGTAAATCACTGGATTATAAAGTGAATACCCACGACCAATAAGGGTAATGAAAAACAATTTTGGAAAAGAAGAGAAAACTGAAATCAGAGCAAAAAAAAAAGGAAACAGCTATTACATGCCAAATGTGACTGAGATTTGAAGGTCATGTAATGAACAAACACATTAAAACATAGCCTTTGCCAATTCTTGACCACACGGGATTTTTCGAAACTGTATCAAGTCTGCCTACTGCCAATACAATTATTGTGTGCCAAATATCCGTGATGAAACTACTCTAGCTTTAGAAAATTTCACTTCAATTTCAGTCTCCTAAAGATTCTCAGCAGGCTCAACGACCTGATAACTAGACATCTTTCTCACTATATGCCCAATGCTCTTTCTTAAACCAAATTAGGTAATATAAATCAATAATCATCCCAAATAAATTAATTAGCTAAGGCAACAGCTCTTAGCGCCCAAACAAATCCATAAAATTTACCTTTAGCAGCTGCAATATACAGAAGCATTAACATATTTGAAGCAATACCACAAAAAGTTTTCGAAAAACCAGTTACAACAACTCAAAAAACATGACTGAAATTACCAAATATGAATCTTTCCCAATTTACAAAACCAATGCGATTCAAGATTCAGCACCGAACAAGTTCATAATTTCACGAATTTATAGATGTATACATATGAGAGTTTTGGAAACGGGAAGCATATAGAAACGCGTACCAGCACAGGATTTGATTGTATGGATCTTGAGAAGCAAAACAAGGACGCTCGCCAAATGGGTCATGTCCCCTGCTAATCTAAATATATTCATCTTTCCCTCCTGTATCGATCAACCAGAAAAAAGGAAAATCGAATATCCCAGAAAACAGATCTGCCGACAATTTCTTTCTTTCTATTATTTCTTAAAACAGATCTCTAGGTCTGGGATGCTCTAAAGAAAGGGGAAGAAAATTTGTTTTTACTATTCTACTTTACCTTTTTTTGTTCATATTCTATTATTTCGTTCGCAGTTCTTTGCCTATAAATGCTGCATTTCTTTGCCGAGAAAAGGAAGTGGTTAAAAACAAAATTGAAAAATTGACACATATTACATGTACCACTAAATTGAGCTAACATTATTTTTTATCACTATATTTTTGGCAGTTTGTATTTGTCACGTAACTACTTTCGTAGCGGTGGCAATGAGCCCCACGAGCTTTGTGTTGTAATGCTTTGTTCTTTACTTGACTGACGAGCTCGACTCATGAGCTCTTATAAAGATAAAACATAAATCCTCCTCATTTATTTGAATTTAAAATTGATTACTTAAATTTCGAGTGAGTGGAGTTAAAAATTGTACAGCAACAACTTGTAACGTCTACAATTTTTTAAAGAAAATTAAAAACAATATTATAAAATAACAAATTTTGATTGATATGATTAAATTAAATATTATTTATCTGACGACATGCAATTCGGCATATTTATTTTGTAGTCGAAAATGAGAGTCTTGTGAATCATTCACACACATTAATACTTCAAAAATATTTTCTTGCAGTCGGCTCTTGATTTCGGACAAAATTCTCTTACTTGCACTAAAAGTAGATTTCCAAACTACAGTGCTAACCGGAATTGTCAGTAGGTCTTTTGCAATTACAGAAATCACTAGTCATCGTCATTCATACCTTCGTTAGAATTCAATAATTTCTTCTGAACCTTTTTTAATTGTTTTATTGGTAGGTATATTATGATTAAAGTAATCAATTAATTTAGCAAGCTATGCATTTGAATTTGCGTTCGCTGTTTGATCACACGCAAAAGACAAACTATTATTAGATGGACCAATTGCATTTGTATCCTATCTATACATCTGAATGCATTCGACTAAAATTAATATTTCAGCGCCATCTTATTCAATATTAGTAGAAGGAGTTGGTACAGAGGATACTCGACTAATATTTGTACCCATTTGCAAATAATTCATACATTACACATAAAATTGGTTCCAAATTTCTATACGCGATAGGTATATTAAAAGTTAAGGCTCCTAAATTTGATTAATTACATATTTAGCCCCTGATAAATTATATCGAGGGTCCATGATGCATGCTAAAGGAAATAACATGGGCAAATATTCTCAATATTTTCTAAACTTTAATTCCATAGAATATATAATTGCACTAAAATCGAGATCATTTTTGCATTTACGAAATGTCCTTGCAATTATATAAAGATGTTCAAGCACCGTACAGCTAGTAAAATAGTAAACTTAAGATAAAAAATTGTAGACTCATAAATTTGTTAAAAAAAATTAACTTTTAAAGCTAAAAGCCAATGGAATTCATTTAAAATAATGTTGTCATCGTTTCTAATATGCTTATTATTATAAAACTTAATTATCAAATGTTCAAAACATTTGCATAACGATAATAATAAGTGGAATTCCATCTATACTCTACGTCACTAACAAATGTTTTCGTATTTGTCACTCCAAATTCGATATAAAATTCCTCAAATGCTTGTTGTCTTTTAGGGGAGATCGTTTCACACTATATTGTTAGCTTTGTGGGTGGGGTGGGGTGGGTTGGGGGGGGGAATTCAATAATTTTTTATGCATACACACTAAAATGGGTCTATGTAGTGTGCTATTATAGCTTTATAAACTCTTTTATTAATAATTGTCGATATATTCAAAGTTAAAGATATAACAACCTCATATTTTTGTAAATCTATAATCAGTTGTTGTTTTGTTCAAAGAAAATATTCTATTGTATTTGAACGAAAAGTGTTTCGACCTACTTCAATGTACCTTGGTTGAAAATATTATTTTACGTACGAGACGAAATGTTCATTGTCTCTTATTGTTAGAGGCAACTAAGCACTGACAACAAGTTTCACCATTCTTGTTCGAGTATTCTCATTCGAATACATCCACGTGATGAGGGGCGAAGTCATAGAACAGACACCTGAACTACTAAATTGTAGTTGTGTTTGGCTAGATTCAAGAAGTTTATATTTGGTCGCACATGCTTAGTAGTGACGATTGATGTGAGTACCAATCATTGTTGACAGTATTTACATATTACTTTAGACTCTGCAACTCCATCAACCATATGATTCGTTGAAGTCAATTTAAAGTGATCCCAACATTTTGACCTGAACTACTAAATTGTAGTTGTGTTTGGCTAGATTCAAGAAGTTTATATTTGGTCGCACATGCTTTGTAGTGACGATTGATGTGAGTACCAATCATTGTTGACAGTATTTACATATTACTTTAGACTCTGCAACTCCATCAACCATATGATTCGTTGAAGTCAATTTAAAGTGATCCCAACATTTTGTTTTTTTTCCTTTCATTTTCCTCTTGCATCGGGAATGTCTAATTGAGATTCCTCCTCTTGTTCCATTTCAGAAACATTAACGTAATTCAAATCAATTGGATTATTACTTCTACGAGCAGCCAAATTTGGAATATCTTTGGAAATGGATACTTCATTTAGATCGAAAAATTGATTCCAAAATTGATTTTGCGACATCATAGGTGATTTGCCTTTGAGACCAAAGAAGCCCTCAACAAACTAAGTGTGAATCCATTCGTCAATTATGATGAAATTAAAATATATAGACAGCATAGTGAGTACTAAAACTTAACTAAGTAAAGAGTATAGAAAGAAAGTTGATGTGTGTAACATTGTGGATTTGTAATTGTAAATTTGCAGTGTGATAATTGAATGAATTGATATTGAATAATCGAAATTCAAGATAAAATTATAAAAATAAAGGTAGTATATTGTACAATTGTGGAAGAGAGTGTGAGAGAGAATTGTTGGAAATTTGGAATGTCTTGTTGTGTGAAAAAATGGAAATGGGTAGGGGTATTTATAGAGAAACCAAAAAATGAAATAAAGTGGGCCACTTTTCAAAGTTCAGAGAATAGGTTTGACTTTTCAAATTTAAAGGGTCAAACTCACTCTCTATAATTAATTACATTTAAAATATTCAAATTTTCAATGTAAAAAAATAATATAATAATCTAGAGAAAAGTTAATTAAAATAAAATATAGAAAAAAATAATAAATACTTTTTTTAAGAGTAGTAAAAGTAAATATAAAGGTTCTGTAGAATACTTCAAAATTTTTATTTCTAACTTTATAGATATTCTCTAAATTAAAGAATATAATATTTAAAAATGGAGAATTAATTGAATATGCTCTTATAAAACAAATTAAACTACTTTGGTGAAATAATCTATTTATAACATTTTTCATGGTAAATTATGTTTAAAAATAAATAAGTGTTGTAACTTGCAAAATAGTAAAATGTAAAAATAAAACTTATCGATTGATCGAGTTTCGTGACAGTACGGTGTCCTAAGGTGAAATTGCCTGCTGATAACTGCTGCAACCTCTGTGGACAATTACTCTCAAAATATAACGATAAAAAAAAAAACCACTTCTGTAACAATCACGAATGGATTTCAGAAAATATATAAAACTCAAGTGTGAAAATTACATAATATGAAAATTATAGTTTCATTTTTTATGTGATTTTTCAAAATCAGATAAGTGATTATATAGTCAGAATAGATATAACTGTCTCTACCATGATTTAGAAAGATTTGCAATTTTTAATAGAATGTTGATAATGGATTGTTGAAAAATGTTATATTATACTGGTTAATTTGATCCATTAAATAATTTTGAAAGTTATTAAAATAAATAAAAAATATTAATTTAATCAAGGAAGTCCAAGAGCCCAAAATCGAAGACTTTTTACCCTTGTTTGATTCCTTTTAAAATTTTAATACATTTTTCTCTCTTTTTTGTTTAACCACACATTCTGCAATAAAAATAATATTACACGTAAATCAAAAAAAATTCATCATTTTTAATCTCACATTTTTCGAAAAACTACTATTGCAAAATACATGTTATCCAAATTTCTCCTTGTAATGATTGTCAAAAAGGGGCTTCAATTATAGTGTGGGATATGACTCGAACTCTCTACCTCTCACACAAATTCCACACTTTCTATTAATCGGGCACTTCATCTAAGTTAGTTATTTTTCACACATTATATTTGTTATATAAATATCTAACAAATTAAACTTTAGTGATCAACTTAAAATTTTACATATGTTTTACAGCCAATCCAACAAGAATTAAAAAAAGAAAAAGAAAAAAAAAGTATGTTTCACGTGGGTTAGTCGCTAACAATTAAAAAAGGGATCAGACGATTGTATAAGGGACAAACCTCTTGAGACAAAGTCTCAAAAAGGAGTGTTTTTATTGGCGATGACTTTACAATTGGAAAATAAAACAGAATGCCTCTAAGGGGCACAAACACACGAGTTACTGAAAAAGAAGTGTTTAAATCTAAACTAAGAAATTGAAAGTTACATATTCTCTGTTTGAGAGTGTTTGATTCAGGGTCTCTTTGCTCTATGTCTTTTTTTCCTTTTATACTCCCGGGATGATCTCTTCGTGATCAATCGCTTAAAAATTGCTTGATCGCTCTATAACTGCTCACTTTCTTCATAGTGGCCAACTTGTCATGGAACTGTCTTCTCTAATTACTGTCATTACTTTTTGTCGTTTAACCGTTTTCAATTGAATTCCTTGAATCGTGAAACGTGATAGGGTTACTCAATAACTGCTTCATTAACCGCACTTTTGGGTAACCATAATATCTTATGTTTGCTAAGATCCTGGGCGACTCGAAGGTTTGGGCAAGAACAGGGTCATAGCTCTGGGCGACTGCATGACAATCCATTCACTCAAATCTTAGGCGACTTGCAAGCTTGGACGATGGTATTACCGCGTTCATGGGCTTCTCTATTTGGGCCTTTATCCTGAATATCCTGATTGGGACGTGCTTTGGGCTATCTGATTTGGGGATCCTCCAATTGGGCTTCATTCCTTGGCTATTCGATTTGGGCTGAACTTTTTGTGTGTCAACAATTACCCCCCAATATGGCAGAATTAATACCAATTATTAATTTTTGCCATATTCACTTTGTGTTTCCTAGCAACATTCGAAATTACCAAGAATTTCA